GTTTCCATGCATGGCACAGCTGTCGTATTTACACAGCAGTCAAATGGCTCATTGAACACCACAAAATAACATTCTTCTTTCAAGCCAGGCTCCCTTGATTCTTGATCTTGTTTTCCAAATAGCCTCCTGTTTTTAATCTATACATGTGCACATTTCTATTTGCTAGAAATAGGAATACTTGAAACATTGGGTTTCCTCAAAATTCAAAGTACTGATTTGAATGTATATTTCTATTTTTGTTTCCTGATTATATTGACTTTTCTCTAGATTTTGCACCTGAGTAATAGTAACATTACTATTAACATTAGGGAATGCAGTGGCTCAGTGGCTAAGACCCTGAGCTTGACAATCAGAAGGTCGGCAGTTCAGCGGTTCGAGTCCCTAGTGCGGCATAACGAATGAGCTCCCATTACTTGTCCCAGCTTCTGCCAACTGAACAGTTCGAAAGCAGGTAAAAAATTCAAATAGAAAAATAGGGACCACTTTGGGAAGGTAACAGTGCTCTGGGCACCTTAAGTGTTTAGTCATGTCAGTCACATGACCAGAGAGACGTCTTCGGACAGCGCTGGATCTTCAGCTTAGAAATGGAGATGAGCACTGTCCCAGAGCCAGAAACTATTAGCAGACATGTGCAGGGGAACTTTTACCTTTACCTTTAATAGTAACATACTCTGCACATTGCCAAAATCGAGGAGGAAGAGGAGGAAGAGGAGAGGATCTTCTAAAGAACTGAAGAGGGGTATCAGTTTGCCTGATTCATATATTCGGATTAAAAATTAGAAACAATAATAACATTATGTAAGCTATATCCCCAATCTGATTATCTCTTGATATGTTGAACTTTAGTTCCCACCATCACTTAGGTCACAGCTTGACCCTTGGATGGGAAGTTGCCTTAATTTCTTCTTCCAATTCTTGAGTGGAACAGTTTACAGGTAGTTCTCGACTTATAACCAAATTGCTATGGTTAAGTGAGACATTTATTAAGTGAGTTTTGCCCCATTTTATGACCTTTCTTGCCACAGTTGTTAAGTGAATCACTCCAGTGGATGTGTTAATATTCTAGTTGTTAAGTGAATCTGGTTTCCCCCATTGACTTTACTTGTCAGAAGGTTGCAATCACATGACCTTAGGACACAGCAATGGTCTTAGGTATGAAGCAGTTGCCAAGTGTCTGGATTTTGATCACATGATCATGGGGATGCTACAAAGGTCATAACTGTGAAAAATGGTCATAAGTCGCTTTTTTCAATGCCGTTGTACCTTTGAAATGTCTCTAAATGAACTGCTGCACGTTGAGGACTATTTGTACATTGTTTTAGCTGTACCCATGTTAGAAGTGTCACCTTTTAAGCTATTAGCCACAGTGTGTAAAATCAGTTGCATATTGTTACCCTTTAGATAAGAACTAGTCAAATGACTGGGAGTGGATAGGAACTCCTAGCATTTATTGGTCCCTTCATCCAAGGTTGGTACCCCTTACACATTCTTGTCCACAAATGTCCATAGGGAAGGTCAAAATCTCATATTGGTGGCCACAGCTATGCAATCAAAGCCCACAGGGAGTCCTTGACTTATGAATCCAATTGAGCCCAACATTTCCATTGTTGAAGAAGACAGTTGCTAGATGACTCATGCTCTGTTTTATGGCTCTTTTATGGCTTGCAGTTGTCCCAAAAGACAACTGCTTTTTTTCAGGAGGCAACTGAACTTTCTTGTTTTTCTTTGAAGATGTTTCATTTCTCATCCAAGAAGCTTCTTCAGCTCTGACTGGATGGTGGAGAATGGAAGGATTTCTACTCCTTGCAGACAGCTGGTCATTTGCGTCCTTTTAGTGAGTTGTTAAGGTCACCTGGAGGTTTATCTGTGTCCTGGGGTCACCTGAGTAGTGCTTCTGGTTCCTGTAGTCTGCAATTTTTTCTCTGGAAATCCATTCCTACTCCCACACCATTCAAAGGGTGTTCATCCCAAACTGTAACGTCTTCAGAGAAAAAACAAAGACAGTCCAGTTGCCTCCTGAAAAAGCACCTTTGGGACAACCATGCCCTGGATGACTGAGAATCTCTATCGCTTTTCCCCTCCAGTTCTTCACTTTGGCTCATTCATTAGATATNGTCTGACATCCTTCCTGGTTTTTTAGGACTATTTTACGTACATCACAGTTTTCACAACATAATGGAAAGATCCAGGGGTTATTAAACAACACTCAGTAGGGCCATTGAGAAATGAGGAGGAAGAGAATAGAAACACAATTTGGTTGTTTTGCAAGCACCTTGTTTCAGTGTTGGCTATACTACATTGTTGATATTCCCCAGGACTGAAAACATTGGGTTCCCCAGCAAGCTCTGACTAGTTGACATCATTCCTGGCTCAGATTCAAGAAAGGGAAAAAGAAAACAAAAACTAAAAAGCTACAAGCTTTGATTCCAGTCGTGACCCTGACAAATTATCACCATCTGTGTCAGCAGAAGGAAATGTCAGCTAGCTGACTCTTAAGCCACTTAAGAAAGAGGATAAATGAAACTGTCAGTGATAGCTGTTCCATTCACAGCCAGAAGAAAAGAATCCAAAGGAAGTGCACATTCTTGCTTCATAGGACTGCAAGTATTTCTGCAAACCAGGGCAGAGGTTCTCTTGTCCATTGTTGCCAAATGGAGAGCAGGATTAAAACCATAATCCTCTTTGTGGGCATCATTCTTGGGTCATTTTGGTAGAAACCACCAATGTCCTTATTCTACACTTCAGCAGTTGAGTAGTCTAGGTTATTTTCTCCAACTGCTTCATGAAAGGCATCAAGAAGCAGAAATGTGGGTTGGTTTTCTTAGCATCGTGCTTCCTAATATTTGGATTCATCAGGCCTGAGCTTGGTCATTTTATCAATGCAGAGGATGATAAGGGTGAGAAACCAGAGACTCCAGCCAACCGCTGCAGCAATCCAGCCGTACCCATCCATGCCAATCTGGCAACAGGTGTTTGCTTCGGAGCAGAATTCAGGATCTGAGGCACAGAAAGAGAAAGGTGTCTTCTCTATCTTTATTGCTGTATATCAGAGGTTCAAAGCACATGCCTTCAATCACCATGAAACTAATACCCCAGGGACTCTGCAAAATTCCAAATTAAATTTTTTTTAAGTTTCTTTAAATTACTGAAATCTGTTTTTAATGGTTCTGCTTAGAATACCAGGGTCTTAGTAGCTAATGTTTTGTGACATTTTGACAAACTCTCTCTGCAATTAGTTCAGTGATTTATCCAAACCCAGAGAACTGATTTGAGCAAATTCTGATTTCGTTAATTTTAATTAAAAGCCATGTGAACGTAGCCAAACTATAGCCATCCAGAAGGATGGGACCAACCCATACGGAGACGGGTGGTTACTCCAACATTATCTGGATGACATTAAACTGGTTGGTGAACTTTCCAAAATAGTTACCAAAAATTCTTCCCAAATTTTCCTGACTTAGAAACTTGCATTTCAAAAGAATGCCTCATTCCAGCATCATTTGAATACTTACGAGAACATGAAAAATTGGTAGATCCTACTTCCATCTCTAGAAAAAGAAAAAAAGAAAAATTGTGTTTGAAGGTATCATTCTAGAGGAAACTCAACTTGTAAATCCACATGCTCAACCTTGGAAATACTTTAGTTATCATTTGTTGTTAAAAAGGTATTACTCTATTATCTAATTTCATGGTGTTCCCCACCAGACAGCTAAAATATATTGCATTACCCAATGATATTATTTATATAAAACTTTAAATTCTATTTCTTTTTTAATCTCTAAAATGATCCTGCAAGAGAAATCCTCAGCTGCCTGGCCTGTTTAAAAATGAGAAGAAAGAACAGTAGGGGGTGGAGGATGGGGATGGGGATAGGCAGGAGAGAAAGAGTCCCACAGGTTGCTATTATAGACTTAAATTCCCAGCCAGTACTAACATTTACGTAAGGCCATAGATTAGGCATGGAAAATCTTTTGATTGCTGCAGCTAACTTTAGCATTTGGGGAGATTTTGGAGTGTTGCAGTAGGTAGGATAAGAATGAAAATAGATGGAGCTGGGATTTTAAGTTCTTACTTTCTTGGGAGTTTGTGGGCTTCCCTTTTTGTTTATCATTTTGTTTTTATATTGGGGCTTACACAAAAGTCTGTTTCCTACTGCCAAAAGGCAAGGTTGCTAGCAATGATGGTTAAAAGTGGCTTCAGGACAGGGTGAAATGCTACCAGTTTGGATCGGTTCTCCCGAACCAGTAATAAAAAATGCTACAGGTTTGGGCAAACCGGTATTTCTGATGATCAGCTGGGCAACGATCAGTTGTGACACGTGATTTATATTAGCTAGAATTGTCAGATTTTCTGCTTTCTAACTAATCTAAATCACGTGGCATAGCAGATTCCCCCACCTTCGCTGTTCTACTTACCTTTGCAGACTTGGGAGGCTTCAAAATATTCCTTTTTTAGCGCTGCGCAGGCATGCCTCAAGCACACATGTGCCAGAGGTGGGTTCCGGATCCCGTTGCAACCTGTGCAACAGGGCCGAGCATCCACCACATGCACATGTGCATGCGTACCTACCGCCCACGACACTCCATGACACTCCGCAGCGGCTCTGTGACACTCCGCCATGGCTCCATGACACTCTAGCTGCTCGTCGGAGTGTTACGCAGGCACCGTACGCTCCGTGCACATGTGCGGAAGCCCCGATCGGCTCAAATACATGTAAGGACGGTGGGGAGGGGGTGGGCCCTCTGGAGCACCATACTGGTGCTCCTAGCAGGCACCAGTATGCTTGTACCGGGGCGTACCAGTTGTATCCCACCACTGGGATGTCCACAAAGTATGCATGAGTACACAAAGTGCATGCTCAGTAGCAGACTCACCGAACCAGTAGCAAACTTCGGAGGATTACACCGCTGCTTCAGGACTATCAAAAAGGGCCATATTGTTTACCTCAGACTAAATGACAGGATCATAGAGTACAGGGCTGTACAGTGATCCAAACTCGGGGGGGGGGGGAGATTTGGAATTTATGTATACGGGATGTGCATGTTTCACCAGTCTAAAACTCCTTAAACAAAATTGGACTTAAGAAAGTCAGACTTAAAACTGAAATGGAACAGTGAGCTCAAAAAAAGATGTAGCTTGTTTAAAAAGAGTTGCCAACAGTGCAGACTCCAAATCACTTTTTATTTCTGAATCTAGGTCATCCTAAATCACTAACACAAGGGTGTTTATGGCAAATTGTTCATTTTAATGGCCTTTTAGGCTAGTGAAACTCTTTCCCTTCTTCTACCTTACCTAATTTATTCAGCGCTGGCTGGCTGAGATTTTTCTCCTTACTTTTTCCTTCAACCTGCTATCTGAACAAAACCGAGCAAAAACATTCTTCAGACAAAGCACGCAGCCTGCCACTGAGGTAGACTTCCATTATATTTTACAGTGTTTCGATGTCATTCCTTCCTTTTCATTAACAAATGCCTCCCACAGAATGCAAGCTCTTAAATTCTTCCGCAGCCAACTGTAAACAGTATTTTTAGTACTACATCTAACACCAAGTCTTTCCAACTCCGTATTCCAACTGAAATATATTTTGCTCTTTATGAATTAAAAAATATCAGAAAAAAACACTTCCTCCTTCTTCTAAGTCTCTGGATTTCAAAAGTATTTCCATAATATTGGAGGTTGTCTTATGCACTTAAGAGATTTACTGCATCTTCTAATTTCTGTTCAGGTTTGGCTGCAAATGAAGGCAGCATTCATAGGGACTACGGTATTTTAATCATTCGTTTGCTTAGGAGGTATATCAGATCTACCTGCCCCAGAATTGAGATTATTTAAAAATCAATGAAATAAATAACCTTTGTATTTTTCCTAGCAGTAAGCAGAAAGTATTTTTTCTTTTCCCCTATTATCCCATCACTTGCTACCCAGTCCCTTCCTTTCCCTTTCTTCCCTGGTTTTCCTATCCCAGGATCTGAGAATGTGATCAAATACACTCCTCTGAATTAAGCTTGTTTTTTCCATTATTTTGCATGTCTTCTGCCAAACCTCAGTTTTATGATTTGAGTAGCTTGTTTAAAGCTTATATAAATAAGCGTATAGCTTATTTTGCTCTCAACACTTCACAGTCAAGAGGGGGAAAAAAGCCACTGCTGAATATTCTCTTAGTTTAACCCAGTATGAATTTTCTTCAGAATGAAAATGTAATACTTTTTTTCCCTTAGAAGCTGGGTTTCTTTTTTTTTTTCCAAATTAGTATTTGCAACACTGAACGGCTAAAAATAATTTTCAGACAAAATTCACCTAAGAGATAGAAAGAAAACAACAACAGCAGGACATCTCTAAACACAGCACAGTTATTTTTGTAAAAACTCACTCCCAAACTCTTTTATTTTCAAACTTTCTAATCATGCCATATTCATGCTAATCTCCTAATCGCAGAACTATGATAAATATTGCGAGGATTGGTCACCTTGTGAAAATGCGTTCTGGCAAGCTGAAGAGAGCAAAAGAATAGAGAAGGCAATACAGATCAATGGCTCCATTTCAGGATTTGGGATCCCAGCAGCAGCTGTTGTCCTAATGAGTCCCAAAGCTACCAACTTCAAGCAGCAGTGGAAGGGGAGGACCCAACACAGAGTCAAATGTTGAATCCAGAACTGTGGGTGGAGAAAGTCAATTCCTGCTGTGCTTGGACACCCTGAATTCACCTGCAGCCAAAGAGTTTGATTCAAGCAAATCCTCTCCCCCTGAGGCTGTGCAAGACTTACAAGGAGGTGTGAGGCATGCAGGAAAGTTAATAATAAACAGAATATTCACCTTTGCAGCAGTTCCATTTCCATAGGTTTGGTTTGGTTTTTTAAGGACATGTTGCATTCATGTTGCATAAATTAAATGGCGTATAATAGCAGTAGCAATAGCACTTAGATTTATATGCCATTTCACAGTGCTTTTACAGCCCTCTCTAAGTGGTTTACAGACTCAGCGTATTACCCCCAACAATCTGGGTCCTCATTTTCCCCACCTCGGAAGGATGGAAGGCTGAGTCAACCTTGAGCCAGTGAGAATTGAACTGTTGAACAGCAGCGAGCAGTCAGCAGAAGTATACCCTGCAGTACTGCACTCTAACCACTGCGCCATCTTGGCTGTTATAAGAAGGAAGGAAGGAACTGAGTTTTGGATGTTTTTAAAAGAGGAGGCCAATGATCCTGACCACTACTCAGGGAAAGGATCCCAATGTAGCATATGAAATGATCCAATGGGTTCTATTTTTTATTTAAGACAACAATGTTAATCAGTTAAAAGCTATCCTGAACTATGTTGGCATTTCAGATTTTTCCATGCATTCCTGATTATTGGATGACAAACTTCAGTCAAGAAAAATTGTCATGGCAGCAAGAAGATAGGGGCAGAGGTGGGGGGGGACTTAAACAAATCTTTT